TGCTGCTCCGCAGCTCTGGGGAGGGAGCTGGAGCCACCAGCCATGGGGAGAAGTCAGGGAGCACCAGGATCCCTCTGCAAGCTCAGCAGCGCGCTGTAGGGCTCCAGCCGATTGACACCAGTGCTTTCCCTGCGCTCAGGGACGGGGCCGAATCGAACGGCTGGGGACAAAGGAAGGCCGTGGGGAGGGAGATATTTGCCAGTGTTGTGAGCCGATGCACTCCCTACCTCTCACGTAAAGGTTAGCAGGGGAGGAGTAGCGCACTCCGGCGCTGTTGCTGGCGACGCATTCATACTTCCCCTGGTCCGTCTCCTCGCTGCTTTCAATCTGCAGGCCCCCTGCGAGGAGAGAAGAAGACCGCAGCAAAAACACCATCATCACCATTTTGTTTTGCGTTTAAGAGAGAGCAATAGCGTCAATGTTTTGTTTTTTCCTCCCCTGGGACACACTGGGACATTCCCCGGGGATGTTGGGTGACGAGCTCCAGAAGCGCGGAGCCCTCTGCCCAGCGGTACGGCTGGACACGTACCCAACGGGAAGAGAAAATGTACTACCCCCCGCCCCGGACACAAAGGGTTACTCTCTGTACTGAAACGATCAGCAGAAATATCAACTTTTGTGGCTTCTGCAATGCAGACACTCTGCACCAGAACTCGTGAAATCAACTTCAATAATCCATATTATTGTGACCCCCAGAAATCTATCAGAAGGCAGCTGACTTTCCCTTGCTTGATTTGAAGCAGCGCCCATAAAAGAGAAAGGCTTTGTCACCCACTGCCCAGGATCCCTGGAGCATTTTTATCACGGCTGCCTTTGGCTGGTGCCTAAATACCCGGTTCACAGGAAGCCTACAGGAGATAAGAGTCCGTCTGAAAAGCACCTTACTGATAGTGAATATTCCCAAGAGAAAACCCTGTAAACACAGCATTGGAACTTCGAAATTGCCTGTGTGCTTTACAATGACTGAGCCAAAAGGATTAAGGTTTTTCTTAAACCTGTACATTATTGCAGCCCACAAGAATATACCCAGAGCCCATATTAAACACTCCTGTATGCAAACATGCAGAGATATGCAGCATGTAACTACACGGAAGAAAATTGCCTCATTTACCTCAGAAGGCTTCATCCCTGCAAAACTCCAGTTAAAATACATACTACATAAATAATTCATCGGGTTATCAAATGTTTTATGTATTAGGAGTACATGATTATACTACAGATATGGTCAGAGCTCACATGTGGCAAGAGTCTTAACTCCCATCTCTGGAAAAAAACCTAAATATGAAAACCAAACAATTCCAGCTCAGCGTAATATTATTGATAAGATCTTAAGTGAGAAAAGTGCAAACGAGATCATTGTTGGTTGCAGATACAGCCTCTTCAGGAAGAAAAACCCAATGTGTTCACATGAGGAGGACACGAAGCTCGTGTTCCTCTGTGTGTGCCTGGGTGAAAAAGAATGCCGCGTGGGAAGAGGTGAGGCTGTGAGACTATTTATGACAGGGATGGGGTGTGATAGTGCGACTCCCGCCAGCATCCACTGTGTCTGGTAGCTCCCAAAGGTGGAACAGATAGAATTAAAAAGCAAAAAAAAACCCCAACCAAGCCACTAAACCAAATTCAATTCATTTCAAAAGAATCTGTGGGCATTTCAGTATAACAGGAGTTACAAACCAAACAGACTGAAGCTTCACACTGAGACACCAGCTGAGCGTCGTTCAGTCGGAGTTACAGCTCGAGCACGCTCTGCCATCTGAAAGCCCCACTTTGGTGGAGAGCTGGTCAGTGAGTTTTTCTAATAATTTCTGTTAATTTGGACAAATCTGTGGGTTGCTTCCACTGGTTCGAGACAAATTTTTTGTGTGGCTCATGAGTGTTACTTGTGTGAGCGTACACAAGGGGAGACAAAGCCACGCGGCAGAGCAGGAACAGAACCACGACCTGCAGGCCAGCAGCTTCACCGGGGAATGAAGACTCACCCCTTGCATCTTGACCACTGCAGCTTTGCTGGTGAACGCAACGGTGGAAATTATACTGTAGAGAGGTCAGCGAGTTTTCAGTACTTGTCAGGAGCCAATAGAGATGATGTGTGAAGAAGTAAATCTCACCTACAGCACCTCCTGTTGCTTTCACCAGCAGAGAATTACAGACTTTAAAATTTGCCAGTGTAGATAAAACCAAAGCAAGGTCTTCCAAGGGGTGCACACCCAACTCCTGATGACTCTCAATGACAGCCTGAGGTCCAGTATCTTTTTGGCTTCATTAAAGAGACAGTGCAAAAGCTACTTACCACAGGTATCTTTCCCAGAAAAACCTAAGGGTAAGAGTGTGGGGAGGAAGGGGAAAGGTGGCTCTGAAGCCAAACAAATAAGTACACTGAGCTGGTAAGCGCTGAAGATCTGTCTGAGCAAAGGATTGATAAACTTTCACCACCATCAGTGGCTCAGGAGCACTCTGCACCAATCAAGAGAAGGTCCTAAGTATTCACCAAGCTTTGATAGCATTTAATGCTCAAGATGAACTTCAGTCCTTCACAGTCCTGGAGAGATTAGCTCTTAAAACTCTGCCATAAATCTCAGGCAGCACGGCCCGAGACGTTATTAGAATAACAGTATCAGTATTACCAAGTGCACCCAGCAAACAAAAAAGGACATTAATAACTGTATATAAAATAAAGACAGATAAAAAAAATAAATATCCAGAGGTGAAGCAGGACAAGAAAACACAACAACAAGAGCAAGAATCTGTATTGAGCACAGGTGAATGAAACGGGAACTGAGTGGAGAGAAGTGTTTGGAGAGTGGGTGAGTGAGTGAGTTGGGGATGTCTTACCTCGGATCGGTGTACCTTCTGCAAAGAAAACAAAGAAAATAAGTGAAAAGACTGTAAAACCCCAAACACCTGGATTGCCCGTGGGAAAAGGACCTGAGTCAAGGAAGACAGTTCCCAGGAGGAAACTTCCTGCTCTACCTCATCTGAAGTTACAGGGACAGACTGAAGAGGGTTCAGGGAACTTGAGATGGGGATGCCCTTTTTAAAGCAGGCCAATTCAGCTGGCGGTTTGCAAAGCCTCCATTGCGCTTGGCTTGAGGAGTGTTAAGACTGGCTTCATTTTGTTGCTAAGAATGCAAAAAAAGTCTTCAGGGTCTCAGCTGACACTACTGTTTGCTACTTGCAGAACATACGATGAACCTGCATTTATCGTCATCGCTCCTGGGGAGAAGGGTCGGCATTACGGCTGCGGTAGCCCAGACGGGGAAAGGGACACGCGGGTACCTTGCATCACATTAAGAGTTGCAGGTTTGATCCCACCTTTGCTAGCAAATTCCCTGTTCCAAACTTTAGCTATTGGCACAGATGTGCGAGGAATTCAACGCATGTCCTTATCAGGACCTTCAGTTACCCTTCAGTGGCTCAGCATGGAGACCGCAGCCAGATGCTCCGTGCTGAAGAAGGCCATGCTACTGCGCAAGGGCCAGGGCTACCTCACGCTGCTGCTCTGGAAGCCTCCCTAAGGCCAGCGCAGGAGGGGGGGTATGGAGAGAGGAGAGTCCCGCTACGTTCGCCTGTTGATTGCATCCCCCTTGGGTTATTTTTATTTAACCCCCCCCAGTTGTCTCTAGTGCCTAACGTAAGTTTTCTGCCTCGGCAGGGCTCTCAGATGAGAGGAAGTGACATGGTGGCTGGTGAACCATGCCACAGGCAACGGTAAATCACTGTCCCCCCATCTGACCTCCTGAGGGTGCAACCATCTTCCTTCAAAAACACGGCAGGTCCTTTTGCTCACAGCGGCATTCAAACTTGTCACACAGCTTATCAAAGAAGGGGGTTTAGTTGCTTGGTTTTTACCCCAATCCTGAGAACAGGGCAGATTCCGCAATTAGGAGTATTGCCTCTTACTCGGGAGAAATGCAAGAGCTTCTCTGCAACGGTAACAACGCCGCCGTTCTGCAGCACCTCCCAGGCAGGGCTTGTACAGCGCATTACATGATAAACATCAGCCTTGCGCTCTCTCCTCTCCCCCAGTGGGGTACAGCAGCATTACTACCCCACTTTACAGACGGGGAAACCGAGGTAGAGGTGAAGCAAATTGCCCAAGGTCACAGAGGGGAGTCTGAGGCAGAGGCATGAACAGGAGCCAAAGCCTCCTGCTGCCAATCTGCTGGCTCAACCACCAGAACCCCCCTTCCCTCCTTATCCTTCAGCCCTGCTCATCCTTTTTGTGCTGCGGTTCAATCCTCCATTTTCAGGATAGAAGGTAAAAATACATAGATACCGATTACAGTTCACCTTTATGTTTCAAAGGGGATGAGGGAAGAGAGGTATTATAGTGTTAGGATATTAGATTCTAGTTATACTCAGCTTCTACTTAAGAGGTTAGGTTATTTGCTAGAGAAAAGTTAGCATCTAGTTAGGGTTAGGAACTAGCTAAGGTTAATAAAGCAGGCTGGTTAGCTATCAGGACAAAGGGTGGAGAGACAGCGCTTGAAAGAGAAAGAGGTGGGGGGAGCGTGTACTTGGGCAGGTCTCCGCACAGGAGATGGCAGGAAGGTTTTAAAAAGCGAGAGAGAGAGAGAGAGAGAGAGAGAGAAAGCAGCAAAGGGTTATAGTTCAATTCAGTGGAAATAAAAACAGCCTCTGATACATCCTTCTGTCTCAAAACTGGAGTGAAAATCTGCCATCTGTGGCACAAATCTGGAACAAGGCTAAACGGGAAGAGGGTAGAGGAGGGGGAGAGACCCCCACATCACCCACCGCTATAAAGCTGCTTCGGCCTGGGCTAAGCCTGGCAGTTTCCTGCAAAGGTTCACTCTAATTGACAGGAGAAAGATGCTGGAAGTTAGAGCTATGTAAGCATAGATACAACAGCAGCCGTTACCTTCTTGTGTCATTGCAGGTTAGTTATTCTCCGTTCCTTCTAAGCATCAACGCTGCCTCTGGAAATGGGTTGTCAGCAGCTCTCAGAGACAGACTGTCCTGGAGCCTGAGCTCTTGGGGAGCAAGAGCAGCCAAGCAACGCACCTCGGTCTTTCCAATTCTAACCCTGGCACACGGGACGTAGAGATGAGGAGCAAAACATGTTTTGCAAGATGCCCCACACCAGGGACGGAGGGGACAGAATTTGAACCAAAATGAGATCAAGTAACTCGCGAGGAAAGAAGAGTGGTTCGAATGGCGGCAGGGACACAGATGGTAGATTTTCACTGTTGGAGTTTCACATCTAACCAGTTTCATAGTCAATATAGGGGCAGCAGGATGGTGCTAGAGGATGATCTGGAATAATTTAATTATTCTGAAGAACTCTGACAGGTCCTGTAAGATTTGGTAAGGTGGTGGTGGTGGAGGGGAGGCACCTGCGTTCAATAGCTGGCCTGCCTGGTCTCCTAAACAGTGCGCGAGCAAACATACGAGGCTAAGCACTGTCTAGGACAGAATACAGGCACCAGCTTTGCAGGAAAACTAAAGGAGGAAGAACGCACACTGGACGCCGACTTTGGAGTGAAAAGCTGGTTCTGGGATGCCACGTGCAAATTATTCATACTGCCTTCCATGGCCTCCCAGGATCTGCAAATCTGCCTATTTAGGGCAAATTTTGAGGCTGCATGAGCCCAGATGGCCAACCTGGCGTTTAGCAGCAGAGGCAAAAGGCAGCTTAAAGGACTTGCCTCTGGATTATAAAGGACCAAGATGGTGCCAGGCAGAACACCACGTGCAGGTGTCCCCCTGTGTCACAGAGGCTGGGATCTGCTCTTCCACCATCCCTTCCTCTGGCTTCCCACACGCCAAGCTGCCTACGGATTCTCCAAGCCTTGAAAACAGGGAGAGGAGGACAGTCACCATTACCATGGTAATGACAGAAAACACATCCCCACCTTCTGTCGGGCCACGTGTGAGAACATGTGTGTGCTATGCTCCTCTCCCGAGGGCTGGAGAGAGCTTTCTATTCTAAACAAGCAAGCAATCATCAAGGGTCTTCTGCAATTTTAACATGCCGGATCCTGGCTGACAGCTGCAATTGCTACATCTCTAATAACAAAAGGGGACTTGGCACACGGAGGAAACGTGCCGTGAGTTCCGCAGACAGGCTCCTGCCTTCTCGAGGGATGGAGACGATCTGGAGGAGGGGGCTTTTCCTTTGCTCAACCCTTTCCCATAGCAGATGACCTGTGATTTACAGCTTCAATTTGAAAATGCCGCACCCCCACCTCTCCCTTCTGCAAATGCCAATAACCCTGTTAGATGTGAAACTCCAAGACCTCCTGCAGGTGTGAACACAATTATCACAGTTCCAGGGTACAAGCTATTGTGTAATTGGGGAATTCCAGGACAACTGTTGCTAAGTTACAAAAAAAATCTATCCAATATTAGGAGGTTCATATTTAGCTGTTATCTCTTTATACAGATATATTAATTAGGATGATTATTATTCTTTTTGTAGCCTGCAATACCCCTGCAGAAATTCATTAAGAGGGCAGAATATCCCTACTGAAAGAGTTAGTAGAAGAAATGCATAGCATGCCTCTCAAGAAGCTGTTACAAAGGAATTAGTTTAAAGGGCAAGGGTTACAAATCTGGACATTAGCAGGTTTGGGGTTTTTCGGTTTGATTGTTTTTTTAATTGAACAAACTTACCAAAGGTCTCTGAATGTTAAAAAAAGGTGAAAAAAAGAAAAAAAAAGGAAAAAGTAAGTTCGTTATAGCCAGTTATTTAGAAAACAGAAGACAACAACAAGACACAAAAGGTTTTAGTGTTTCTGTGATCCAAGAAGGTGGCTGCAGGCTGCCTCCTGTGATCCCCCCTAGGTGGCACAGCTGAGCAAAGGACATTGGCTTCTACGTTAAGTGGCCTGAGACCGCCTGTGTCTGGGTTAAGCAGAAATATCCGTTCCTCTTCCACCACCAAGACCAGGTAAACTCTTAGACAACCTGGGTCTCTAAAGCTGAGATGCTCATGTGTGTCTAAGGGAAGCAGGAGCCTAAACAAAGTTTCTTTTGATTGACAATTCAGCTTTTCATTCAGTCAAAACCCCCAAACGTTAAATGCTTTCTGGTTGCTTGGAAAGTTTATCTGAAGATTGAAGGAAGAAGAAATACTGGATAGATAAAACCCTCTATGGTTAATGACATATCACCTCTTTCTCAATTATACTGAAGACCCACGAAATAATGGGTCTACAGGATGATGTGACTATAATGACCATGGTCTCAGCGGTCCATTTATACTGCCAGCGAAACATTCAGGTTTTTTTAATATAAATGAGAACCAAATCTGGACACGGCTACCCAATTTTGCAGACCTCTATGTATGACATTTCACTTGTACCTTTTAATGAGCTAATTTGCATGTTTGCCACTAACTCATATATTGATAGCAATCCAGTTCTTAACACCCTTCATAATAAAGCAGTGCGGCTGCCATCCTGACGGCTTTATCTCCAAGGCAGAACGGGGGTGACTGTCCTGTCCTGCTGCTCTCAGCCTGTCCCTGTCCCGTCTCCATCAGGCAGCAACGCGCAGCCAAGTCTTCAGAGACAACGCAGTCGCTGGCTTCTACGCTAAGCCTGTCAGCACAAAGTGCAGCGCTGAAGTTGTGATTTAGTACCAGGGTCACTCCTATTCACAGAGGGTTGTCAAACACCCGTTAGTGGGGTGTAATTGTTAATCCCCAAGAAGCTGGGCTGGAGTCATGTTGATGACCTGGGGCTGAAAGACACTGAAGCTCATTAGCAGTGTCCTGAAGCATCCAATGCCCTAATGTGTGCTAGTGCCACACTTCTGGCAGCAAAGTTTGTTTTCTGGAAAGATAAATGTATTGAATTAAGTTCTGACTTTAGCAGCACTCGCACCATCGGCGCTCAAACAGGCATCGCCTTGCACATCACACTCGGGTTACAAACACACACTTGAATCTGCTCTGCCTTGGTCTTAACACAGCTCCTCTCCACTGACCTAAACACTAACACAGTACAGACGACCCTAATGTTAATTCATTTAGCACTTTAATACTTTGGCCTTTGCAGCACAGAGCATGCAGGTTTTGAAAGGCCATAAAAGTAGACGAAATAGGAGAGCTCAAGTCCTGACTGTCCAGGAATCTGCACTCCCTTTCACACAAGCAACAGGTCTCTGCCCCTAAGGACAACAGGGATGCTGCAGGGTTTCACCAGTTTACTAATTCAAAGCAGCTGTAAATGAGATTTAATTCTCAGCAGGTATCTTCTGATTTATCAGAAAGGCCAAGGGTTCACTCCGAGGCTAACCAATTCACTGGAATAAAAATGCAGCACTCAGGTGGCTTTGAGGAGAACACCAGATCAAACCCAGTTAAGGAGTATAGAGGCATTCTAGCAAGATGATAAATGTATTAAAAATAATCTGCCTGCGCATTACTCACACTTCAGATCACGGTCACAGAGCACGACATAATTCTAGTTTACCTCTCATTATTTATGCTGAGTGATTTTTTTTATTTGCATTTGCCTCAGCTGTTATGATAAAACAGGGAGGTCAATCTCATCTGTGTTTGTGGGATTCAACAATCCATTCTAATTCAACAAAGCAGTTTAAGTATCTGCTTGTAAGTTTGCTTCACTGAATAGGGATGCATTTATGCAGGTGTATAAAAGCTACACCGAACTGGAACTAGACTGAATCTTTTCCATTAGCGGCCCACAGAACTAGAAATCTTTGTACAGAATCTTTGCCAAACAGGGCAAGAGAAAAACCAGGCGGTTACATTCTCTGACATTCAGATCCAGCATCACCGCAGTCAGAACTGATTTCTCCAGAGCCAGCAGTAGCGGTTACCACTGGAGCGGCTGACTTGTACGATGTCTAATATGAACAGAGCAACCCCAGCTGCTTCACTGAAGCTTCTGCTTTCCCTTTGCCTACAACAAAGCCATTCTTCTGCAAAAAAAAAAGAATCTTGAAAATGCTCCATCTCTCTTGGCCAAAGAAATGTTCTGAGTAGCTGAAGTGACGCTAGCGCTTGCTATGTCCAACCACGCAGACATGTTTTCTCTAGGCTGGGTCAAAGCACTCAGTCCAAGCAGTATTTGAAAAGCATTATTTCTCAGGTTAGTTTTTGTCAAAAGGTAAAACTTCCAAAGCTTGTTTCATTTTAGAAGCTATCAATGGAAGTTCTTTATCAGTAGTGTTCAAAAATAAACACACCTGTGCCCTCCTTGCACACATACACACATTCTCACACAGTGAACTGGCAGATTTAACAGTATAGAAACAGCTCCTGAAACGTGAATATTAAGAGATGTCATGTTGACACACACACAAAACAACAAACATAAAACAAACAAAAGAGACAGATGGACAAGCAGATGGGGAAAGACAGAAAACTGACAAGAGCCACAGAGCTGGGGTACATCTGTTCATGGAGACCCACTCCATGGGCACTGCCACCGAGGGGTCACTCCAGAACGCTCACGCCTGCTCTCCAGTGATGACTGCAGGGACTTGATGCCAGAAGGATCCCGCAAGAGCTGTTCTTCACCACCAGCTTTGCGAGGCTCAGTTCACACCAACAGGATCGTGTTTCGACAGCAAGAGGCTGCCTGAGCTGCAGACCCTATACCAGGTGTGTGTGGTCGAAAAAGCCATTTCTGCCGTAGCGGTTCTCCTTCCTCCTTACCCGGTTCTTGGTCTGAGGATAAAACTCTCAGCCCCCATCCAGTCCCCAGTTTCCCCTGCTCCCAAGAGCACCGTTCTCCAGTGAAGCAGTTACAGCGTCTCCTGGGTGGGAACCAGCTTTCCTGCTGTCATTCCCCTTCTGTCAAGTAGGCAGTAGGGAAGGCCAGGAGGATGGGTTGGAGGCGAAAATACTCCAACCACTCCCTGGGTAAGAACATGAGTCCCAAAACAAAAAAAACCCCGAATGCCCCAATCCATACCCAGGGGGGAGGGCGCACATCTATCAGCCCTCTCTTCTGCTTCAGAAACCTCTGAGCAGTCTCTTCACGGCTGTATCGAGGTCTCAATTCCTCCAGTCTCACACAAAGACCTTACCTGATCTCAGTTGTTTTATTCTCCCGTTGCTTGCGCTGGGGTCGACGGGCAGGAAATCTTTAAACCAAGTGATCTCTGGGTCTGGGTTCCCACTGGCCGCACAGAGCATCGTGGCTGTTCGTGTCCTCTCCACCACTTTCAGCTGGGGGCCCATATCAATGTTTGGGAAGCCGGGAGGTAACTGGTCCTCTGGTAGGAGAGAACAAAGGAGTGGTTAAACACATAGAGGGACTGGTGCAGCTGGAGGAGCTGTTCAGGGGAACAGCGCAGAAAGCACCAGGCAGACTTGCTGCCCAGTACTCTGTGCAATGCAATTTTAAACAAGGCTACAGTAAATGGTCCATAGACGGTTTGTGAAAACACATTATACAGCAAAATTACCAGTTTGTCCATTTTGTGTGACTATTCTAACGTCCCACAAGAAGATTCTACGTTTAAATGCAAACTATTAAAACCCTTTGGGGCATGGGAATAGTCATTTCAAAGTTTCTCCACGTCTTGCACTGAATCCCTCTGTCAGGTACGTGCCTCGCACTTCGCTGTTTTTACAGCAGAAGCTGTGCACACACACGGCGAAGATCCCGGCACCGCACAGTACAGTCTATACGGTCACATTTACAAGGAGGTGTTCTTCTTCCCCCTCCAAACCCCACAGTACGAAACAAACTGCACAAGAGAAATAACAGAAGTGACTACGTGAAAAGGCCCTTCAAAGCCACAGTGGAAACAGAGAGAGAAAGGAGAGGAAAATATCACCCAGCTGTAGTTACCGGAGGGGACACACATAACAACAATAAGCCCAGTGCTGTCAGACAGGGTGTGATTTTCAGATTTATTAATTCAGAGTGCCGCTGCCCTAGAAGAGGAGGGACGTGGCACCAGCACCGAGAAGACAGGCTCAACTGAGCTTCTTGCTTCCTCTCCATCTCGCCTTTGCCTCCACTAATGAGGGTGAGGAGGGCAATCCTAACCCATGCGGACTAATTTGCGATAACTAATACAAAACCCCAGTGCTTCCCCCACAATCTTTGTCACGACCTCCTAACTCATGTGGAAGAGAGCTATCTTGTGCTGGCTGATAGGGCTCAGGAACACGCCATTTTTTCCTCCCAGAAAATCAGTCTTTGGAAGGGGCAGCCTGGAAAGAGGACGCGGGCACCAGGGTGAGACCTTACAGGGATTCTCTGTCATTTCAAATGAGGTGTGTTGAGGAATCGCAGCCCTGGGAATCTATGGCATTGAATCCATCCCAAAAGCAGGTGAGGGAACAGAAGGGAAATAAAATAAAGGATTTTAGAAAGGTGGGATTTTTAAAAAAGTAGCATACATCACAATCAGCCCCCCACTGAAACCAGTGGGAGTTCTCACAATGGCAGCAGAGACGGGCTGGAAACCCTTGCCTTGCTTGGGAAGCATCCCTGCTAACTGCAAACACAACAAGAGCTCATTTCCTACTCATGGCACATTGCGTACCAGAAGCCATGGAGCCAAACTACGTACGGCTGAACCCGGAGACTGGAACAAGAAAGAAACCCGGTGGCCTTGCTATGGCGGGTGTCTTTTCCTGTAAAAGCAAAGCAGAATCACCAGATCCCAGTACTGTTCTACGCGACCTCCAAACACAGGTGATTTGGCAAGAGCTATTCCACTCTGCTCTGCCTCACACTCAACTTCCAAAAATCTATGAAGATCATGACGGCAGAGCTAAAGGTTTGCGCAGTGCTCTGATACCTGAGGCCAAGAAACTCTTGTCCAATATGGTTCATAGCAGCGCACAGCTACTGCAGAGAAGAAAAGGGTTTAAATGCCTCAATTGTGTGTTTAAAAGTGTGCATTGTTTCCTTCCTCTGACCATTGTTGGAGAGTTATAAAGGATCTATTGTGACTCACTGGAGAGTGAAATGTATTAACCACACCTCTCCCTATATATCAAAGGAATCTGACCACAAATGAAAACACATATCATTTTATAACTGCTAAAGTAACACACAACTGCCACTATGGACAAACTTAAGAGTTGTATAAAGGCATAGCCATTTTGGTGCGTCTGAAGCACCTCTAAACCAGAATATTGCATTCTAAAGAGAAAGATAAACATCTTTAACTAGGGACTGAACCAAACCTTTGAGTTCTCAGTTCACCAGGCCGTGTCTGGGCACTGTAGGAGTCTCCAAACAGCGTGTGCTCTTGCAGATCACATGTGCTGCAAAACCCTGGCCCCCCAAGAGTGAGCTCAGGACAGAGGGGTCCTGGGAATTGCTTTGCCTTTGCACAGCTTTCAGCCAGGCTTTTAACGTCTTCTCTTCCCTTCTGCTATTTAACCAGGCGGTGGTGTGTTGTTAAGGAGCCGCGGCGCTGCTGCCGCATTGGCTGCAGATGACATCATTATTGATTACTGCTTTTATCCTGCTCCCTGGTGATGCTACTCCACCTGGCTCAAACCCGCGTCCGTTAATTTCATGAACCGATTAATCCACAGAGAGAACAGCCCTCTTGACTGGCAGGGTGTGTGCATGATTGTGTGTGTGTGCACGTGTGTGTGTGTGTGTGTGTTGGGGGAGGCCCGCTACAACTATTATTACCGAGTGTTTCTAATTAAACAAAAATGTTAATCTTGCAGCACAATGTGCAGAATTCCTCTGAGTTTAATTAAAACAACTGCGACTAGAGGCGTGATCAGATTTGAGGATCAGATCAGCGGAGGAAGCATCTTTGAACATCACATATTGCACTGATTCAAGTGCTCAGATTTCCTTCCTGCCAGGAAAGTGAAACTGCCTTCATCCCCTAACAATTGGATTCCCTGTAATAATGCAATTACAACCTCAACTCAATCCCCACAAGACATGCACACACATGCCCTGCCACCCTCCCCATCAATCCCCAAACACCAGCCCAAACCTGTTACCAAATAAACAAGGAGTGCCTTGGATTATGCATTCTCGTTCTAAAAGCAGCCCAGGCAACTGCAAGAACAAAAGAACCAAGACGCGAGCTGAAGATGCTTCAAGGGCACATCTGGGCAGCTGCTTGCTGTTGAAAATCATACTGGCTTATGCAGGCAAACGTTTCCGCGTGTTGCCATATTAACGGAGCATCCCAAACACCTCATCCATACCTGCTCTTACGCGGAGTTGTTTAAAGGCCTCCCAGACGAAAAGCTGGTGAATTACCTCAAGGCCAGTGAACAAAGTAGGGTGAGAACGATTAGGGGAGGAGGGATGGAGGGGGGCAGGGAGAGAAGAGCACTTCAGCATTCATTTACAATAAATCCTACCAGGCGACGTGCTCTGTGCTGGGGGGTACGCCGCAAACAAACCTGGGTGCGTGCACTGACACGCACACGGTCAGACAGAAAAAGCAAGGGGCGCCAGCGCCAGCAAAGGGAGACACCGGTGCTCACTGTCTCCTTGTCGCTCTAGAAGGTGGCAGCTCTGTGTTTAGATAATTAGCCGCGCTGGAAATGAGGTTGATAAAGAAAGATAAAGCGGGTGTTGCTGCTGCTCTTTTTCCCGCAGGGTGTGCACAGTTGTTTAATAATTTAGAGGAGAAGGAGGGTGTGAGCATGTACAGACGCACTATGTATTGAATGCAGAAAGCCACAACGAGGATGCTGCTGAAGTGAAGAAGAGGAGTAATTTTTCGCCCTTCTCTGGAGATGCGTGGCCCAGCATGCAGCCACTGGCTGGTCTCTGAGCAGGCAACTATCCTCACTGCAGGTGGAAGAACACAGAGGTGAAGCAGCTTGAGCGACTCTAGTTTTAAGCAGAATCTCAGGATTAAAATCCAGCACTCCCGAGTTCCCTGTTCTTTTATGAACCCTTACAGCTGCTCCCCCCCCAGCAGGTATCCCAGTATTATGCACCTTGTGAAATCACATCAACAAGTTCTGTCCATCAATATGTATGTACCTGTGTCTTAGTTAACGTTGTTTCACAGCCAATTTTACTACAAGCCAGGAGTCTCACTAACATGCTCTGTCTGTTGATTCCATTTATTTTGATCTGAAAGGTTTTACTATGAAAATAGTAATAGCCTAACAATGTTATTAAAAATTTGCAGGCTTATAGACAATAAATACACACGTAGGTATGTGTGTTGGACCCTGTAATACTGCAGGTAATACACTGCCTTCCCTACA